ACATAGATTTTATTGCATCAGATATATTTTTATACACTGTTATGTGGGTAGTTGATCAGTCATCTAAAATACACACTTTCTAGTAAACTTATATCTTATATGACCAGTAATTTCACTGGTGAATTGTAAAAATCAGCCATGAAACTATACCATGATTTCTTTGACAAATTAGTTACTTCCCTTGTATATTTGTATCAAACAGCACAAGCATACAAACACTATTAATCTGTCTGTAAAACACTACTCATAGAAAACAGTTCCATTGTGATTTTGTTCCTCATATTTTAATCTTGTTGGCTCAAAGGCAAAGCCAAAATATTTTGGCACACAATAAAAGGAAAAGCTTGTCTTTCCAGATAGCCATCTGAATGTGAATTTAAACTTGTTGACAGTCACTGGAGTTTTTTTTATTATTTTTATTTCTTGTTTCCTTGATTCAATAACGTAGTAGTACTGTTCATCATTCTGACATTGCAAACCAGGTTTTGCTATTCATAGTTTAACTAAATGAGGGGATGACGAGACACACCTAGACTCAATGAAACACAATAGGAACATGAACAGGAAGGAAACAAAATATGGGCATGTAACACACAAGGGAAAACTAAGGCTGTGTGTCCGAAATCGCCCCCTATATACCCTTAAATAGGGCACTACTTGAGGGAACAGCCATTTTTAGTGGTGTCCGAAACCATAGTGGACGTTCTCGAGTGCACTCATTCAATCCCACAATGCACTGCAAAAACGAATGTACAACTGGTGCACGCTCAACGGCTAGAGAATGCCCATAATGCACCGTGAGAGTCACGCGCCGAATTAATTCCCACATCTCGCCAGAAGATGGCGCCCGCAGCTGAATAATCAATCTGTTCATTTTTACAAAGCGCTCATCCATGGCGTACAGCATAATGTACAACACGGGTATAAATTCATTGTAAATTGATTATTAAATTGTTTGATTAGGGTTTATACATAATTTCCGTCACAGAGTTCAAGATAAATCCTTTAATCTTACTACTGGAGCTGCTAGTTTGCTAGTTTCAAATGATTAATAAACAGCAAGCACAAACTATGCAAAAGCGGCATTCCTTCCGGTGCACTCAGTGTCCGAATTCACTACTCTTTTTCATTCACTCCTTCTAGTGAACTGAATTAGTGACCTAATGTAGGGAATAGTGAATGAGGGAATAGGGGGCGATTTCGGATACAGCCTAGGTCATGGGGAGCAAAACACAACACGGACAGTCCATCTTCCTGACATATCGCCCCCTCTGCCCCTCCTGGAAGGCGTGTCCTCGCACCGAAGAAACAACAGAAGGAGGGATGGGTGGGAAGTTGGGAGGAGGCTCAGGAGGAGGATGGACACCCGGGAGGGGGCAGGCCGACAGAGTCCAGGGAGGTGACGACGGAGGGAGGAGCCAAGGAGGAAACAGGAGGAGCCAGGGCGGATCAGATGGAGGGAGGAGCCAGGGAGCCGACAGGAGGGACTTGGAGCATGCAGTGCCAGGTGGGCCCAAGGCCACGGCCATAATGTCGACCCACGGTGGAGCCAACAGAGGGAGGAGCCATGGTAGAGGAAGGGCTGACAACTCAGCCAGGGAGTCAATAGAGCCAGGGCGGATCAGATGGAGGGAGGAGCCAGGGAGCCGACAGGAGGGACTTGGAGCATGCAGTGCCAGGTGGGCCCAAGGCCACGGCCATAATGTCGACCCACGGTGGAGCCAACAGAGGGAGGAGCCATGGTAGAGGAAGGGCTGACAACTCCAGGGAGGCGACCAATTTTGGCGGAGCAGGTGGTGGAGGAGCCCGAGGCGGAGATGGGGATCCGGAAGGCCACAGTGGAGCCGGAGCGACAGAGGACTGAGGAGGAGCCGAAGGAAAGGAGGAGCCAGACAGAGCCAGAGGGACGAGGCACAGCCGGAGGAGTGGAGTCCCGATGTGACGGATGGTCGACGACAGACCAAGGTGGAGTCGGCGGGACAAGGGAGCTCGGCGGAGTCAGTGGACTGCCGGGCCACGGTGGAGAGGAGGGAGCTAGGAGCCATGGTGGAGACGCTGGGTCGATGGGCCGAGGCGGAGTCTGGGTATCAGAGGCTGGAGGCAAGGGATTCTCCAGCCATGGTGACGATGGAGAATGGCGGAGCTCGCACTGCACTTATGGTGGGCTGAATACGAGCAGAGGGGCTGCCAAACAACAGTGGTGGAGGAGGCAGGAGCGGGTGGGTGGGCGGGCATTTGTGAGGCTAAACTCTGAAGGAGCTCTCTCTCCTTCGGAGTTACACAGTCCCAGATCCATAATTAGCTCACCCTCAGCCATGGTGCAGGGGGCGGAGCTCCTCTCCGTGCTCTCACTGTTCCAAGGCGTTCTCCCTCGTGGCGGGCATTGTAGCCGTCTCTCACACCTGGTCTGACAATCCGTGAGGCTCTGGCTCCGTGGCGATCCTCAGCCCTGTCGCACCCATAGGCAATGGCTCATCGGTCGCAACGGGGTCGGGCTCTCCATCAACGGTGAGTTCGGGCTTGGGCTCCACGCAGCAGGGAGATGGTGGGCTGGGCACTGGATCTGGCTGTGTTCTGGATCGGAGGTAGACACTCTCCAGACACAGGACTCTACGGATACTTTTCTTTTTAGGCGCGCTTGTGCTCCTAATTAAAAAAATTTAGGAGCACGGTCAAAAATTTAGGAGCACCTTCTAATCAGTAATCAAAAATTCTGATAAAAAAATGAACCTTCCCATTACGAGGTGATAGTTGACTCCTTAAAGTGATTTATAGGGAATTTTGTTTTTACCTTTGTAATGGCATTTTTCTAACTTTATTAAAAGTATGTCATCTTTTATGTCAAAATCAAAAATATATATTTATAAGCTTTTTAACATTTCTAATTAAACCAACAGAATAAAAACAAGTAGAATAAGAAGTAGAATAAGTTACCAATCAAATGAAATCAGTATTTAAGAAATAAATTTGTGCTACAGAGATGGCACAGAAGAACACACAAGTGGCTTGTATGTGTATTTTCAGACGTTTAATGAGGCTCAGAGGTCGCATGAGTGCAATTAAATTCATAAATTCATGTTGAGGTTAATGTTTTAAATATAACATTTTGAATATAAAAATGATTTAAATAACAGAAAAGATGCTTTAAAAATTAAACTAAAACTGCCAGCAGGTGGCGTCAAGTCACTGATTTTATCACTGAATCATTCATTCAATTGATTCATTCGAACGACTGATTCATTCAGGAACGAAGTACGTGACTGTCTTTATGAATGGGTAATTGAATCATTGACTCGCTAGATTTGTTTAAAAACGCAGTTCATTCATAAATGAATCACCGCTGTGTTTAAATGGCGATGCGCAGCGGCTCAGCTGTTACTTTTAAAAAAAAATCTATTTTCGTTGATGAAATACAGCAAAATCAGGCAATTGTGTTGTTGTCAGACAATATAAGTCACTTAATATTAACTCTTGTTTAATGAACTGTTGTATTAAATCAATATCACATTTGCAAACTCCCTTAATAATCATTAAAAGCTGTCACTCATCTTAGTTTATCCCGATCTCACAAAACTCCATTATAATCGACGAAGCTCTCTACACTGCACAATGAATATCTTATTTACACCCCGTCAACACTTTGTAGTTTTCAGTCACAAATGCGACTGAAATGGTCGCACTGTAGAGCCCTGAGACACCAGATGATTGCCTCCCTCCAGCTCAGTCTGGTGGTGTCTGGGAGGTCGACGGGGTGGTAGTAGTTGGCCCTGATCCAGAACAGGGAGTTCAGTGCAGCGTCGTCGAAAGCCATTAAAACAGCGAGCTGGCTGAACTCCACAGAATACTCCAAGAGGGAAAGGTCCTTGCAGGCGAGGGATGTAAACTTTGCTGCTAGGGAATCCATGGGGAACACGGGGAAAAACAGAAAACAAACACTTTAAAAAACATGGAATACAAATGGATGAGAAAACGCAAATAAACTATTTAAAGTTAACTATAAACAGTTTTCTGTCACAGTTGCCTACTGTGAGGAGCAAAGGAGCGAGGAGACGTGGGAGAATTCACGAAAAGGCAATCTTTATTAATCCAAACATGGGAACAAGGAACACACTCGTACCAACGGGGATGGACGATAGACACTGGACCCTAGACATGGGAACACACAGGGCTTAAATACTTAACTAAACAAGGGGATGACGAGACACACCTGGACTCAATGAAACACAATAGGAACAGGAACAGGAACTGTAAGGAAACCGAATATGGGCATGTAACACACGAGAGAAAACTAGGTCATGGGGAGCAAAGCACAACACAGACAGTCCATCTTCCTGACAGGAATGCAATAAAACGGATCACAGTGTATTAATTGGCTTTAAAGCTAAAGGAATGACAGTAAAGTTTTTACTTTGACAGTTACTAATGACAGTTAATTTTATTTCTGGAAATTATCTGGTTCATGTTTTCTTCAAGAGGCACTGACCAAGGAAGTTTCATATGTGGTAAAAGTGTCCATAATTAAAGGTAAAATACAGTTGTCTGAAATTTAATTTAGGCCTAAATTTAGTAACTTAAGTAATCTGTAGGTAGCTTTTCAATGTCACTTTTAAGTTAAAAATATCTTAGTTTATTAATAAATAACTGATCTGTTTTTAAACCCAAATTTATTTAAATTTTTACTGTTTCTATAGGATTGAATGCATTTGGTGTGATGTCAGAATCATGGTGACCAACAAGTAGACATGCTGCACTCGCTGGAAGCATAACGATTGCTTGACATATCGGTGGTCGAGGTCCTTTTCAGTTTCACTTTCTGACGATTCTGTCTTCTAACGAGTCTAATGGGTTCACAAGTTTCAAAATCAATGTTCTAAAGCTGCGGTTCTCAATACTGTTCCTCGCGTCCCCTGCTCTGCACACGCTCTGCATCTCTCTCTCTCTCTCTCTCTCTCTCTCATTCAGCTCAGCTCCAACAATGAACTGTTCCATTTATATACTTATTTTCACATAACTATGAGAAGTGTTATACATGGACGCATACAGTTGCCGTACTGTATTACACCTTTAATTAGCTTTAAATAAAACCATATATTAAAAGCTAACAGAAGCAGTAGCATTTACAAATAACAGCATATCTAAAAGTATGAGACAACAAAAAAACAAAAAACATACCATTAAGAGCCGTGCTTGCACAGGTTCTGCGTGATCCTCTTCACTAATATCCTCTGCGTCTCAATCGGGCTCAAACTGATAAGCAATATAGACTATGCCATTGTTTACAATAAAACCGGACCACATGCTGCTGAGGTGAGGAGCGTGACGTACAGACGCACGAATCACAACACACTGGGCCAGCTAACCAATCTGAGCCCATCATGTATTTCTGAGGGAGGGGCTTCATGAAAGCAGGAAATTATCAGTGTATTTATGGGAGAAGGAACAGAGCGGTGTAGAATAGTGTAAATTATGTAAAAAATAATGCGTTTTTTTTTACTAAGCATTAACACATGTTAGACTGCACCCCATAAACACAATCAAGCCTAGAAAAAAAACAGTCAGCCACCCCTTTAACTGGGCTATATCTTGAATAATATTCAGAGTGTACTTCTGTCAGGACCACTATCGTCAAAGGTGTTTGGATTGGCGGTATGGTTCTGTTCTGGGCAAGAACTCCCTGCGCATCCATGCAGCCTACCATGAATGAGAACAGGGAGAGCAGCAATAACCCCCCCAGGGTAACAGAACAGAACTAACATAAATATATTGCAGATATTGTTAAAGTTCAATCATTTTATGTACACATTTTAGAATTAGTCTGATTCAAAGGATAATAAGAAGGCTGAAACCTGACTGACTGAGGAGGAGCTGTAACCAATCTGAGCCCATCACGTATTTCTGAGGGAGGGGCTTCATGAAAGCAGGAAATTATCAGTGTATTTATGGGAGAAGGAACAGAGCGGTGTAGAATAGTGTAAATTATGTAAAAAATAATGCGTTTTTTTTTTTTTTACTAAGCATTAACACATGTTAGACTGCACCCCATAAACACAATCAAGCCTAGAAAAAAAACAGTCAGCCACCCCTTTAACTGGGCTATATCTTGAATAATATTCAGAGTGTACTTCTGTCAGGACCACTATCGTCAAAGGTGTTTGGATTGGCGGTATGGTTCTGTTCTGGGCAAGAACTCCCTGCGCATCCATGCAGCCTACCATGAATGAGAACAGGGAGAGCAGCAATAACCCCCCCAGGGTAACAGAACAGAACTAACATAAATATATTGCAGATATTGTTAAAGTTCAATCATTTTATGTACACATTTTAGAATTAGTCTGATTCAAAGGATAATAAGAAGGCTGAAACCTGACTGACTGAGGAGGAGCTGGGGATGGAGGAGGGTAATTAGCTATTGAGCAATGCGAAAACTGCTGATAATACTGAGGGACCTTATATATGAATGCTTAGATAGGTGTCGTATTCCCATAGGTTGATGGGGATCAGCTGAGAGTCAGCTGATGCGAGCTTGACTAACGTGACCTGCCAGAACTAACGCTACGCTTGATTTTTGACAAAAATGTTTAATAAGAACTTTTGCACAATCCCACCATTGCTGTAAAGAAACATGTTTTGTGTCTTGCTGTTAAAATAAAAATGTTTTGTTGCTTAAATGTTTTCTAAAAACTAAAATTGTCCATAAATAATTTATCAATTAACAATTTAAAAACTTAAAAGCAATCTTATAATTAACAAACTTAAAGGGGACATCGGATGCAATGATTAATTTTACATGGTGTTTGAACTTAAATGTGTGTTGGCAGTGTGTGTACACAACCACCCTATAATGATGAAAATCCATTCAGTGTTTTTTTTTTTAATCCCCACAATTCATAAGCACTTTCTCAGATCAAACCGTTCGTCATCGTCAAACCAGTTGCCATTTACTCCCGACATCTGAGCCGCTGAAGATGCAGTGGATTACTTTTGTTTTTGAAGGGAGTGTGCCCCCCGATCTACCTAAATGCGTTTATATCTGAGCGAATCATTTTACTCCAGACTGATTGGGATGATTCAAGGCAGGTTTTGCTAAAAAGTTAAAATTCAAGGATGGATCAGTACCCACTGTTCGTAATCCAGCTGCACCTCCAGAAGCAAGTCCCACATTTGATATTTTTACGATTATTTGCTAATCGCCTTTCCTCTTCCACGGAAGCTTCTGCTTTGGTGAGCAGAGCTCATTAGCATTTAAAGAGACATGCATCAAAACGGCTCGCTCAGAGCCGTTTTTTACAAGGTAAAAAGGGTGTTGTTTTACACTACTGTTGAGCAATTTTAACCAAAGTATGTTAATTTCATGAAGACCCTAAAGAATCATAGCAACTTGTGGAAAATGGGCATCCGATGTCCCCTTTAAAACACTACACAGAAATAAACTGTGATCAGAAAACTCCAATGGAACAATTGTACAAAATTTTTACATTGATTACATTGATATCGAAGAGTATAAAATCTGTCAAGACGTGCCAATGAGATGCTATGAGCCCAAGTGTACTGCCTGACATTCATATTTCTTCATATATCACACAAGTTATGAGTTTCACTCAATTGTATAAGGGTTTTTTTTTTCGGGGGGGGGGGTTGATGTCTATCACGGAGATGTCCATTTGACGTCTGCATTTATATCTGCAAGAGGTATTTTTTTTGAGTGTTTGCTCATCTGCAATATGTCTATTGGACGTTACCTATCAGATGTCAAATAGATAGAATAGAATAGAAAATGTCTTTGAGATGTTTATGATTTAGAATGTATGTAAAACTAACATCTTAAAGCCGTCTATCAGATGTTTGTACACAGCAGATGCTTTCCAGATGAAGTGATCTTTAACAGACATCTTGCAGACGTATGTGTGCTATCTGGGAAGAGTGCAAACCATAGGCACAGCATGCTAACGTTACTGTGCAGATCGAAGAATGTGGGCACAGTGGATGCTTCGCTCAGGCGGCAGAGGGATGCTGAAGGAAAATCTTGAGACGCATTGTGGCTGTAATTAAATTCTTGAGTGAGAGAGGCCTAGCATTCAGAGGCGATGATGAACATTTGTGCTCATCAAGTAATGGCAATTATCTCGGATTTCTGGAACTTACTGCACAGTTTGATCCGTTTTTAAGAGAACACAGAAAAGTACAGTCAAAAGGGACGAGGGACAACATCATAACTGACATCTACTGTGTCTGAGGAGTTAATTTGGTGAGAAAGTAAAGAAAACAATTGCAGGCAAACTACAGCATGCTAAGTATTTCTCAGTCATCGTAGACTTAACCCCTGATATGTCGCACGTTGACCAGTTGACATTCATTTTTAGATTTGTCAGCGAGGAAGGGAAAGTGGTGGAGAGATTCATTGGTTTCAAGCCTATTCACAGTCACACTGGAGAAAGTCTTGTTGAATGCATAGTAAAAATGGTTCATGATCTGGCGTTAGACTTGTCAAATTGCCGGGGACAAAGTTATGACAACGCCAGTAACATGGCTGGTAAATGTAACGGTCTTAGGGCACATCTGAAGTAGGTACAAAGCCACAAGAGACGTGTTGCAGAAGCGTGACATAAACTTAGATACTGCACAGCGATTGCTGAAATCTCTGCATTAGTTTGTGGCAACACTCAGAGATCAATTTTCTCAGTTTGAAAAGTCATCTCGGGACATGAAGTGTGTGAATCAGTTCTATCAACACGAGACACAGCGGGTGAGAAAAAGACAAATATTTGCAGACGAGTCCATGGAGAATGACGAGATCCTAAATGGAAGTCAGCGATTTAGGGTGGAAACATATGTGATCATTGACAGGTTGCTGTCCTGTCTTGCTAAATGCATCGATGCATAAAGGGACTTGAATGGACTATTTGGGGTTTTGTTTGATACCGATACAGACTGATGGTGTGCATAAACGTGCTGCTGCACTCAGGGTTGGGCAAAGATACATCAAAATGTATTTTAAAATAAAATACCAAATACCTTAATTTTAAGTGTATCAAAATGCACTACAAAATACAGCAGCCACACCAAGTATCAAAATAAACTACTGTATTTTTGTATTTTAAAAATACTAAAAAATACTTTTACAAGGGAGCATGAAATTTCTTCACAAACCTTCCATCAATTGGCCTGTTTGATCTATCTCTTCACCAATACACTGATGTTTGTGAACAATGTTTGATAGCAACCGCTTTTCTCTGCCCGAGTCATGCAATAAATCTGACATATGCAACCAGTTAACAGATCAAATATTCACATATCCCTGTGATTTCCCAGATGAAGGTTAGTTTTAAAGTAACCAACAGTTTAATGTTTAACAGTTTGCGAATAACTCATAATTGTATCCAAATTTAGTTACTTGGTGTTTGGTAAGGGCCTACTTTACATCAGCAGCACTGACTCAATGACAAACAAGTCATTCATAAGAAGACAACTGATGGCACCTGTATTCATAGCAACTAGTTTCTAACTACTTAATCATTTGATTGTTAGTCCTAAATGTAATAATATATAATGTGTCAGGCAGTCATTCATGCAATGGTATGTAAAATCACTTATCCTATTTAAACAGCTACTTCAATTAGGGTACGATATTCAGAAATCAAATATTTATTTATCAATCACTGGACACCTATTTGGAAGTTGAAAACAAACATTTTAGCATTACAAAAATTATTAAATGATCAATATGTTTTGTTTTTAAATGTAGTCAGAAACGTTATGAGAAAGTAGCAACAGAAATTGTCAAGGAGTATTAACCCAACTCCAGCCACTGAATCTATTGAGAGCCACAGACGTATAAAGGACATGCACAACTCTCTCTCACACTCTCTCTCACTCACACACTCTCTCTCACTCACACACTCACACTCTCTCTCTCTCTCACTCACACACTCTCTCTCTCTCACTCACACACTCTCTCTCTCTCACTCACACACTCTCTCTCTCTCACTCACACACTCTCTCTCTCTCACTCACACACTCTCTCTCTCTCACTCACACACTCTCTCTCTCTCACTCACACACTCTCTCTCTCTCACTCACACACTCT